AAAAATAAAAATAAAAAGCGCAATATTTTGTTGTACTATTGGTTAGGACCAATAATACAAAAAAATCTCTCCAATAAACATTGGATCGTACAATTAAAGATAACCATGAAATCTAATGTTAATGTAATATATTTATTAATGCACCAAAGAAATACAACAGAAACGTTAATATAACAGAAGGTGGACTTATCCCTAAACAGAGATCTCTTCCAGCCAACTCGATGTTAATATTCGAAATTAACTTCGTTGGACGAACGTAAGGTCTTTGAAAATATTTTACACTTATATGTTACGGTATATTAATATCTAGTCTTAACTTGAATTATGAAATAAAAATAATAATTATAATAAATCGTTTATTCCAAGTAACATTGACTTACATAATTTGTTAGTAAAGCACTTAATACTAAAGTTAGTAAGATACTAAATTATACTCAATAGACACTTCTGCAAACATAAAGAAGTAGATAACGAAAGAAAAGAAAAGAAAAAAAGAAAAGAAAGAGTTCGTCCAGAGACGTACTGCCACCTTAAATATTTCTGGCGCCAAGCAGTACCTAATGTTAGCACTACTTGGGACTTGTCAGCTTTTCAACTCTTACACATTGGCGTTTTAATGCCCTGAGTGGCACTGCAACTGTTATGGACAGGCTTTTCGACTTACCACCAGGCCCACGACTTGTTCGTCTCGTCACATAGTGTTATAAAGAAAAACAAAAGTTACCTTACCTATTTCTGCCGACAAGCAGTAATGTGAGTATTACTACGTTCCGGTTTAGAAGGGTAAGAAGGGTGCTGGTGAAACTACAGGCACATGGGACTTTCTGAGTTGGAACTGCAACTGTTATGGATAGGCGTGTCGCTTACCACCAGGCGCACGACTTGTTCGTCTCGTCACATAGTATTATAAAGAAAGACAAAAGTTGTTCATTTGTTGTATATACAAATACATGCAACATACATCTCATATTATTTACATGTGTTTTCCACCGGGAACAAAGAAATTCTAATAGGCAGAGAAAGCTTCTAGAAAGTTTTTACAATTTCCGCTAATAACGCAGACAAAGCCGTGAGAAAAGGCTAGAAAAAAACTTAGTTCTGGAAAATGAATATTCTGTCGTTCATGTACATTTCAAAGAAAATATTACACAGTTCTAACTTAAATTGATCTTTCATAATACCCAACACTGCAAACCGAAGCCCTCTCAGGCTCTTGTCACGCTAAATAGCCACTCGTGCGCAGCTTCAAAATGCAAAGGAATAACACTCTTGAAGCCTTTAGTAAATACTTGACCGCTCTCTACTTAAAACGATTCCGATGTCCACTTATACCTCATCGTTAAACTAAGACATACTTAAGTAGGCGCTTTATTTAGAATTTAGTTTAGTATTCTATAAACTAAAATACCATGACGTCATTACATAAAGCCTAATACTTTAGACCATGTATATAAAAATAACAGTATACCATGTATATATAATAGTAGTATAATAAACCATATTAGTTAGCGACAGGACTCGTGATAACAAAGCACTTAAGAAAAATAAATAAATAATAAATAACGCACAACTCATTGCCTAGCACTGGGGAAACCCTTTGTCGCGGGTGCCATGGAACCCATAGATATAAATGTAGGCCATACAAATATTTTTCCCGGCCTTAGAATCGAACCTGGGACATCTGCGTGGCATACCAGCATTCTAACCGTTCGACCACGGAGGCAGTTCATTAAATTAAAGCAGTTAATTCTCGGGTCAAAAATCGTGGTAAAAAAAATGCCGATCGGCGAAGGTAGTCATCGATTGTTGCCCAGGATGTGTCAGACGTACAAGAAAGAACGTACGTCGTGCGGGGTGGCTCGTTTCATGCACCTCACCCCACCAGCACGGTGAAACAAATATTTAAAAAGAGAACCAAAATTTTAATTTCTGAAATTATTTATTTTGCGAATTTTGTTTGTTATGCCATAAGTACGATCATACATGGATATTTGATTGCATGTTTTTGTTTCAACCTGTATATATGCTGAAATCTTGGTAAGGATTTTGTTGAAGCTCAGGTTGTGTTGATACATTTTCGTAACGCAGCAGAAACGAAACACTGTCACCGATCTGTTTACAGAACAGAAGAACAGACTTTCATAAAAGCCGACTGGTAGTATGGTTTTCGCCTCATCGCTTTTTTTAGCGGATTTGATACCGTATGAAAATCTAGATTACGTGCTTATTGACCAACTTATGAGGGCACTTCCTTTACAAGTTTTCAGTATTACTGAAGTCGCTATCGAGCGCCGAATATACAGGTTGTAAACATAAGAGATATCCAAAAACTTTAAACTGATATCGAAAGTACGTTACCTAATGAGTATATCCAAATCAAAAGTAAAAATATTCAAATTTTAACTTGCATTGCTCCATACATTTAATATTATGTATATATTAATAGCAGCAGAGCTCTTTGTGAAAGTGTTCGTTCAGGGAAGTACTGCCACCTTATCTATTTCTGCCGCCAAGCAGTAATGTCAGCATTACTGTGTTTTGAAGGGTAAAGGGTGGTGGTGAAATTACAGGCACATGGGACATGTCAACTTATGTCTCAGGATGACGGGCGCACTGGCAGTGTCCCTCAGATCTTTGCGATTTAAAGCTCTATGGACAGGCGTGTAGCTTACCATCAGGCGCACGATATTATAAAAAATAAAAATTACATTCGTGGAGCGAGTTCATAAGAGTGCTTGTGAAATTATAGGCACATGGGACTTATCAACTTATATTGCGACGGAATGGAAGCGAATTTTTGTAACAATATTGTAAGCGCTTGCTCGAGAATGCTCGCACATTAGCGAGAATTCGGCAGCTACCAACGGCGACGCGGGAAGTGGCACGAAGGCAAGCGCAGTGTGACGTCAAACGTTGACGAAATACTACATTATCATGGCGCGGTCGCTGGAATGCTCGAGCATTCGCGAGAATCCCAGCGACCTCGCGCGCCTTGTCTCGCAGCGAGGCGAAATTGACGCTTCCATTCCGTTCCGCCGCAATGCAAATTAAAAAAAAAATTGAGCCTCAGGGTGATGGGCCCAGTGGCATTGCCCCTCAGATATTTGCGATTTAAAGCCCCTGAGTGGCACTGCAATTGTTATGGGCAGGAGTGTCGTTTACGACTAGGTCCACGACTTGCTCGTCCCGTTACTTGGTGTAATAAAAAAAACTGAAACATACGTTATTTTTTATCCATTTTGCCAGTTTTGCTAAAATGCTGCTTTTTTAATCGTCACTTTATTTCCCAGGTGTTAGGATCCTATATCTCTTAACTAATTATATTAAATCACTAACAATTTTCTTGACAATAAATTAGCTATATACAACTCAAAATAAGTAATTCTGAATCGAACCATGTAATAAATTACCTCCATTCGTGCTAAACAATATGTTCAGTCAAAAATGTGAGCAAACAAATTTTATTACTCCACGCTATTGAACCTACATAATTAAACTCTTAACAATTACATATAAAACGGGTACTTACTAACGTATTTACAACCGCGGCTGCATAGAAAATAAAATTTTTATAGTTTTATTATAAGATCTTGGCCTTTATAGCTCTTAAATAGTGAGCTTACACCGTCGTAAAGTTCACAATCTGTGAATTATACTGCTAGTTCCGTGTACATTCCGCGCTGGATTGTTGTTTGCAAAGTTGTGGTTGCAGAGTTTATTTCCTTATATTGTTGCGCACTTTCCTAATCACGAAGTGTACATAGCATAGTAATATCAACAATATACGTAATACGGAATTCTAAATGTACCATTTTTGGGAAAAAGGCAAAATATATAAATATAGTAAAGTCGTAAAGCATGGAATATTGACATATTGGACACCAGTCAAATAGCATATGGCTGGTTCCACGTATTTTTTTTTAATGAAATGAAATTAAATTAAATTAAAGAATTTATTTCAGACATTAGATATAGTTACATGTCTATATAGTGTTAGTAGATACTTACAACTATGTTAGTAGAATGCAAAGTGTTCATTTTCATGAGCATGAAAGAATATCCAATACTTAAGAATTGCGCTGTTCATCCTCTTTGCTACCACCTTAAGAAGACCGTTAGTGCAGCCTCTCACTATAGCCAACAGGGATGCCACTCTCTAGCGAACGACTGCCTGAAAACCATCAATCCTAGCATCCGCGAACATCCCTGAGGCACTACAGTGTCGAGGCAGTCCCTCCTGTCTTAAAAAGTATTTCCCAAATTGTATTATTGATTATCTACCTACTTACAACATTTCGCACCCTTGGTCACTTAATAAGGCTACATTTACAAAATGACAACTTTTCAGAAAAGAGGTTTAGAGGTTATATACGAACGACATTGCTCGATAACTTTTATGCTCAAATAGGAAACTTGTAAAATTTCAGATATACATAATTTGTTAAACGCAGTTATTGTTATTTTTACGACTGTTATGCTTCTTTTAGGCAATTAAAGCACTTTTGACATATTTTTTTATAATATGAAGCGACGGGGCAATCAAGTCGGGCGTCTGGTCTGGTGAGCTACACCCGACTCTGACCCTTCAAAACCGGAACACAGTAATGCTAACATTACTGCTTAGCGGCAGAAATAGGTAAGATGGCAGTACTTCCCTGGACGAACTCTTTCACAAGGAGAAGTTATTTTTTACGAAGCGAAGTTACAAATCATTTTCCTAACTTAACTTTGAATTGACCACGATAGTATTATATTAATAGAATAGTCCATAATGCACAAAGTACATGCAAAATTATTCATATATTAATAAACAATAAAAAATAATAAACATTCATAACCTGCCACGTAAGGGTCTCCGTCTCCTCGAGGAAGGGAGTTTAGGACATAGTACGCCACGCTGTCCCAAAGCGTGTTGGGGCCTTGGAACATTTTCCGAGGGTTATAGAACCTTCTTCACCAAGCAGATTCATCATGATGTGTTTCATCATCTTTACCGACCGTTATATCTTGCTACTAAACATCCATAAATATACGTAGCTCTTGAACCATACCTATAAGAATTAATGTAAAATACTTATAGTTAATAAATCGAACCATTTAATCACTGGTTCACACAAAAATATTTAGGTGGTCTTGACTATGAGACCATAAAAACGTAATTACGCTTTAGAATGACTATCAAAGATGGCTCACTCAACGAGAAATATCCAACAAATCAATTAATGTAATGCAAAGAATTCATTCACCTTTAGAGATGGGAAATTACGATCATTAGAATGGACACATTCTATTGCATAGTATCTAGTATCGATAACTACCATAGAATTATCGCAATTTCATTTCAGACACTTGCAATACAAACAATTCATCATTTGACATATTTGTTTTATTAATTGAGTCTCAGCTACAGAGGACTATGATAACATAGCTTTTGCTGATATAAGAACTCACAAATAATTAACAAACACTCTTACAAGCACACCATTTACATATTATTCTAAATCCTAATTTCACATCAAACAGCAAAGGAACAGAAGAGATTAAATGTGTGTTGAAAAAAAAGCAATTGTTTTGAAATCGATATCGATATACGACAATTTGAAAAAAGCGCAGCACTTATGTTATCGCGTCAGCGATTAAAACATTTTGATTAGCTTTCAACTTACGAGCAATGTCATAATTTGTTACCCAGAACAAAATGTTATAACCGCCACTTCGGTTCTTCGACAACCCGTCTTTACGTTCGAAGGCCGGTTTTAGAAATTAAATTCCATACATTAGACGCTTAATATGGTACTAGATGGCTGTAATACAAAGAGACGTGATGCCACCCCAGTCAAGTGACTGTGCAGGAATGAGCCGATAGCGATCTCAGATTGTCGTATCGATAGGTCTGCAATAGCGGGCACTCGACATCCCTATTGAAACTTGAGATTGACGAAAAACTTAATGAATTGTGATTTATAATGACGCATGTAGAAAGGATATTGACTGTAGACAATTTAATGGAAAGACATTGGAGATATAAACTGATAGGACTGTAATTTAGATAACGCTATGATAGACAACGAAAACTGAATTGTTTTGAGGAATTTATTGATAATCATACGGACGTGGTTAAGATGTATCTGCAGTTCGTTAATCGATATCTCAACTAAAGGTGAATTTTCGAAATCAATGATCAGAAGGTGGTGCGTCCCTTTTTTGCAAAACAGTCCTCATGTGACCTTAGAATAGACATACTGCAGTTTCATTATCACTCTAATTTTATTGACAATGAATTTTCCCATTATTCTCATAAGGACAGATTCTCAATAGGACGGATTCTCAAGAAGACGGATTCTCATGAAGACAGATTCTCAAAAGAACAGCAGTACACGTAAGGAGAAAAAGAGAAAAAAATAGAGATAAAATTATTTTAATAACTTGTCAATTGTCGTCGTCAAAACGTCTTAGTATCGCAAGGCGTTGCAAACACTCAAAGACCGATATTTCACTCCGTACACATTCAGATACAATCTGTTCAATTTTTCTGTCAACTAAAATGTCACTTTTTCTCCTTCTTTTTCCCGCACAATAAAAGGACCCTCTGACAATTTTTATGTCCGACAGTTTTGCTTCCTTCTTCAAAAGCATGATGAAATAAAGCATCGATGGCCTTTTAGGAATTCTAGAATTAATTCTTTTATGCCACCCTTCGATTGCGTTTGTCGTTCGAAATTTCTCGCCAAAACAACTGAAAACTTCTCTCGTAATAAGATTGATCCATTGCTTCGAGAAATAATTTTGGAATTGTGTACTTTCTTCAGTATTAGGAGCTAATTCACATAATGTCAGATACGCCTCCGGTATAAGCGACGCTGGCAACAGTGCTAATAAGGAAAAGAGCTGAGTACATTTACGACCCTCGTTGGATGAACTAAAATTAATCGATTTCGACTTTTTCCAAACTGCGTTTGTAAAATGATAGTAGCAACCCTTTACTACAATGTCAGGATATATTGCCTTTATCGCTTGGATAATAGCCAGTTCGTAGTCACATTTGAAAGTGCTGATATTCATAAAAAATTGATATTTTAAAATTTTGAAAAGTCTCTCGTATGTAGTTTGGCTTTTGTTGGGCAACAAAGCGAACAACAATGGCACAAAGCACACAGTTCCTGATTCATGCGTAATGTCAGCATGTACAGAAAGCAGCTGATAGAAAGGAATCGGGCAACATCTAAACGTTCCATCAACGTACACAATATCAACTGTTTTCAATGTTGCTTTTGCCAGTCGAGTACCAAAAATTATAATCTTCTCTTCAACACCATCGTCATACAAAAAGAAATCACTTACTAAACTGTCTGGCAACTGCACATCTTGGGGTCGCAAAAATTTACTTTTTTTTACATTTAAAAATTTATAGCGTGCCCGATACAGCGTATCCTTTTTTGAACTGAATGTAGGTAATTCCTCTGGGGAAAGCATTTCGCCCTGACCAAATGTATGATCAGAATCCTGTTTATGAAGTTTGTAATAGTGTTTCTCAAAAATTTCAGGTATAGGCGCCATATTAAGACAAACCTCTTGTTTGGCTAATGACATTGTGAAATCAATTTTGTTACGTTCATAATCTGGTAAACATACATGTTTAGCTTCTTTCACAATTTCTTTATTATCAGCTGTTAATGTTATGGAAGTGCTACAAATGTTTTTATTGACGCATCGCCAATTAGTTGTACCACACATATTTGTTTTAACAAAATTATATTTATGGCCAGCGTGCAGAAGCACCATTCCTTGATTCGATAACCGGCCTTTACCTATAACAATAAGTAAAAAACTTCATTCGGTGCTTCTTTTCCGTGGTTCAGTCGTGATATACCGGTTGACAGGACCACAGCTAAACTTTTGGTTGTCTATAGATTTGACTGTACCCATGGTCACTAAGAATTATCGTCTGTCCGGTTAACTGTACTACCACATGAAAGTTTAGGTATGGTATGGTCCGGTCAACCGATCTATCACAACTGAACTACTCCCCAGTTCTATCCATCAATACATGTTGTACAGCTCCAAACGGAACAGAGACGATAGGAAAACTGTCCTGACACAGTAAATGAATATTCATAAAAATTAACAGCTCATAAACTGAGTCGTACCTTTATTTCCTTCAATTATCACGATGTTAATTTTTCCAGAACTAGGGCCCGCTTTATCCATTTTTGAAAAAAAAATCAATGATTTTACATAGAGATAGGAAAATTAGCTTACATTCAAGATATTTCATGACAATGTCAAATCAATGACATGTTTAATAATTAGTTTTATCAAATCACCAGTAACAAAACAAATTATACCGCAAGGAGATTACACTTTCCACTGCAATTTACTCATATACCTACTCTGCTGTTTCAATCCACTATTCCCCGGGAGTCAACAACAAGCATCGTGTATGGATACCCACGGTCCATACATAGGCCTGTGCCCTGCAGTGGGACGTATACAGGCTGTGTGATGATGATGAAACAAACCGACACACCATAATGCGTTATTCGCTTATTTGGTGCTACATTGATGTAATTGTAATTTTGGCAAATTTGGATAAAGGATGTTAATATGTAATTAATTAAGTCTTAATTCAATTATGCCAAAATTGCAATTAAGTCAATGTTGCACTAAATGAGCGAATATGTTATGTATTGTGAAAAAAAGGATCAATTAATAATTTCAAATAAATTTAAAAAATGATCACGTGCATCATAAATGCACAAATTAACCATTTATGATGTATCGGTTTGTTTACACCCTGGGAACAGTGGATTGACATTTTGACCAAATATTGTGTGTATCACTTCAGCCGAAAGACGTCCACTGCTAGAAATAGGCATCCCTCAATGATAGGCATCCTCAATTATCGCCACGACGACAAAAAAAAGTACTATTTAAAGGCCCATACAAAAAGTAACCAACGCGCAAGGAACATGCAGACATACGTTAAACTTATGTTACCGAGGCGTATTTCAAATACTTTTGCGTGCACCTGTACAATTTCCGGTTTTTTGAGAATCTGTCTTCATGAGAATCCGTCTTCTTGAGAATCCGTCCTATTGAGAATCTGTCCTTATGAGAATAAAGGGAATTTTCAAATTTTGAAATAAAAAGGTGTATGTGTGATTTTTTGGCATAGAATAAATAATAGTAGTGTATCACACAAAAATCTACCAATAATGACAGACAAACATTCTAAAGATAGGTTTTTTCATGATACCAAGTGACGGCACGGACAAGTCGAGCGGCTGGTGGTAAGCGACACGCCTGTCCATAACAGTTGCAGTGTTGATCTGAGGGGCACTGCCACTGCGCCCGTCACCCGGGGACATAAGTTAATAAATCCCACGTGCCTGTAAATTCACCAAGAAACTTACCCTTCAAAACTGGAGCGCAGTAATGCAGAAATAGGTAAGGTAGCGGTACTTCCCTGGACGAACTCTTTCACAAGGAGCTCTACTGCGAGATTTGAAATAAATCTATATTAATTCTCCAATCGTTACTATCCCACTGCAGGGCGAAGAACTCCCTTCCTATCCTCCACTGATCGCGATTTAACGCCACTGTAGGCCAAGCTATCACATGAGCATCTAACTCTTTAAACCATTTCTTTCTGGGGTTTCCGCGTTTCCGGCTTGTGTTGGGTGGAATCCGCTCTGTGGTGGTCTTTGCCCACAGCTCGCTTGACAAGCGGCAAACTTTTCAGGCGCAGTTCCATTTCGGACTGGCGGCTTTTTGACCAACGTCAACAATTTGTATTTTGGAACGCAGCATTTCTGTTAAACACGGAGTCTGATAGTTTTACTACAAAACACTGCGATCCATGCCCCGCTGACACACCTGACGAATCGCCAAAGACCAAGTCTGAACGCCGTCTTTAAATCATTCAATTATCATAGTTTTCACATATGACCATCTATGTAAGTTTTGTCTTGAACATGTGCCTCCACGATAAAAGATATAATACAGATATACCATTTTTTATGGCTAAAGTTCTACCCTCACGTGGATATATTCCTTAACTCCTACAAGTCCAAAGTTGTTGACCACATCGTCGCATCTAATTAAAAATTTAAAATAACCCGCGTTTTTGTGCGTTAATGGCCATTAAGCTACCCGGCAATTATCGAGGGGCGCAGGCGCAAGTGAAAACCACGGATCGGCCGGATTGTAGAAATAATTAGTGCCCCTTGAAAAATTCTCATTTACAACGCGTGATAAATATTTACGAGTTATTGTTCCTTGACCGAGAGAAAGGATTAATATGGATTGAGTTTAAAATTGTGTTTTCGAATTCATCATCATTCTATTTAAGAGCCAGCCTCTTGTCTGCGTAGCCTCCTCCACTCTTCACGGTTCATTGCCGGCTACTAGACCTCTTTATAACGGCTCACTTAAACGTTCTTCTTTATTTCGTTCACTGTACGCCATTCTTGTCGTTCCTTTCTGTTTTCTTCTATCTTCCCCTTGATTATATTTAACTTTTATAAATTCGTCACTAAGTAACAAAGTTCAAACATTCGCCCTCCTGCTTTTGAATTACATAAATTAAAATAAACAATATTTCTCTTACTGAATTTAAATAATAGAATACTCTTTCAATATCTTTGTTTGGTTTGTTTTCATTTTGGCTACAAATTACTAGATATACCATTGACTTACAAATAAATGGACGACGCGTCTAATACAAAATCCACGAAAAAAATGTCCCAAGTCAACCTATTTAAACGTAGTGACATACAAAGGAATATGAAAAAGCTAAAACGTTGAATTTAAATTGTAATGTCATCGCAGTACTGTCTAATTTTGCTTGCTTCGCTGTCAGTCGAACAAACGAAGACTAAAGCGTGAATGACGCTCTGTATACGATTTTAACGCCCTATAAGTTCGGACACTTTTTAGCGCGGACCCGACGTCCATATAATTGTAAGTCAATGAGATATACATATATTTTAAGATTAAGGTTCATGATTATTTAATTCTATCGACTAAAATATTAAGTAAATAAAGGTAAATAAAACATACTTTTAAGTTAGGGTTTTAGATGTAAAACCCCAACTTAAAAGTATTTTTTTGGATAATTTTATTTTTTAATTATAATATGCAACTGTAAAAACAATGTAATTGAAATATACAGGGTATTTTTTTTTAAAGTGATCCTATAATTTGTTTCCTTGTTTAACTGTTAAATAAAAAGAAGAAAGAAAGAACATGTTCTGGGCGTATCAACTATTGCAGCAACCATTTTAAGTAATTAATTTAATCATGTTGAGTTTGATTTCATCAAGTGCCTTTATAAGCTTGATGAAAGTCAATGTATTTCAAGTGACGTATACCATCCCAAATTTAAATGTAAATGGATACAGCAAGCGAAGGTCCACACAAATCTTTCAAAAGCAAACATAAAAGCGGTATAACAAACGTTAACAATAATTCCTCAATAATATAAGGTAATATTTTATTAGCAGTGGTCGACGCAATGAGTTAGTTAATTAGTTGCTTTAAGTTGCCCTCAAACAATGGTGTCGACTTTAACAACCTGTTTTGTTCCATTTTTAGTATTGAAAAGGTTTCAAGGTACACTTTGGAGTGACGTGAAACCAAAAAATGTATTAATAATAATGTGCCAGACAACCTCACTTCGATGCTGGTCTCGAATTAGGTAATCCCTGTGCTATAAGTACCAAAGCTACGAAATTACACTCCGGAGGCCAAAACCTATAATACCACACGTGATTTATAGAAGGGGGTTAAGGGGAGCAGGAAGAATATAAGACTAATTTAGCAAATGAACTTTCTAAAAAGTTTTTGATCTGGACCAGATTTTTGATCTTCTGTTCTTAAAAGTATGGTGTAAATAATAATAAATATTAGACAACATCACAAACGTTGTTCTGATCCGAAAGTAAGTAACTGAAGTAGGTACTTACATTATGGAAATCGGAAACAACGACGTTCCCACAAACACCCAAACATGAGACACAGAAAAGTTAGTTTTTTTCCGACCGGGTCAATGGCCGGGAATTAAACCCGGGACCTCAGAAAGAGAGAATGTGAAAGAATTGTATGGTGGGAAGTCCCAGCTACTGCAGCTGGAATAACGAATACAAACCTGAACGCCCTACAAGTAACCAAATGTGACAAAAGTCACAGAAAATAAAAAAATTGGTTTCATTTGATGTCAAAGCCTTCCTTCTCATTGGGTCGCTAAACCAAGAAAGTTAAAAAGGTACTTATATTTACTGTATCTTTATCTACGTAAAGTAAGTATTATTTAAATCTCTACGCGTACTATGACACAGGAATAAGGGACTCCCACCTGGTATTGTAAGAGTCACGAGTTAGCGAATATTGGGATATTCCATGCCGTTTTTTTCTCTAATACAGTTCAGTCGGTTTTAGCCTAGGTGGGGCATTTTTGCGCTTCTGTCCCAATATTTCCAGTCCAAAACCTATCATATTCATACGCATTCGGAATTTTATTGGTACGCTTGCTGGTGACGCACTAGGTATATGTAAAACTTCCATGCACTCTATTTATGGAAAGTTCCTTTAAATTTTTTGCAACACGTTTCATATTACTACGAAGTAGATTAACGTCAGTACTGTTATTATAAAAAAAGGAACAGAGATTTATGAGAAAATGTGAATCAGAGTCAATTAGCTTTTTACTGAAGTGATTCAGCATACAAAAGCCACTTGGGAAATCCGGGGTTGATACTGCGAAATTGTACGTCATAGTGGAAGTATGAAGAGCTGTGGTACAATTCTAATTATATAAATTTATTGAAACCTGACGTCACTTGCTTATTCAGAATAGGTCTTTTTCTTTTTCCACTACTCAATGACCTATATGATATCTCCCTGCATACAAGACCAGCTATTACAAGGTACTTTATAGAAATGTTTGAGTACGTCGGGTGCGTGGTGGACTTACAGTGTAGTAATCCCATTTTCACAAGCAAAATACTCAAGTATTCCGAGAGTGAAGGTTCTATTAAACTTTCATACTACTATGAACCACGGTGAAAGTGCCAATGTTGTTATATTTTATTTATTAGTTCTTATTACAATGTTACATACTATAAATTAAATATGGTGAAGATCGTATTTAGTTGTACAACTAATTATGAGTGAACACAACTAGCAAAAGCAACGTTTAAATAGACAAATATGAACTTAAAAACAATAACTTAGAATTTTGACAGCCAACGGTCCTAGTTAACCCAAAAGTTTGCACATTGGGCACTGAATGAAGAAAACCAATTTGAGATATGAACTTTTGTAAATTGGTTAGGTT